CCTGTAGTCCCAGCTACTTGGGAGGTTGAGGCAAGAGAATTGCTTGGGCCCAGGAGTTTGAGGTTGCTGTGAGCTGTGACACCACAGCACTCTACCCAGGGCAACAGCTTGAGACTCTGTCTCAAAAAATAAATAAATAAATAAATAAAAATATCCCTTATATTTGTTACTCAGTGCCTACCATACGGCAGATATCAAAATATTTGTAACACATTTCTGTTATCTCAATTAAAAATGATTTCCAAGTTTAAAAGTATGACTGATACAATGTTAGAAGGACATCTATATTTATGAAGGATTTCAAATAAAGAACACTCCAAAATTCACTTTGCACAATTCTTACTGAGTATTCAATATACTGAAGGGGAGAAAACTCAGTAAAACTTACTGCTTAAAACTTACTTTTTAGCCATTCAGTTTTCAAACATGATCAGAAACACCTATAATATAAGGATAATCTAGTTTCTAGAATACAAAAAGTTTACATCAGATTTAAAATCAAATATATATGAGCACTGAGAAGTGTAATTTCTAAAATATATCTTCAAAAGTCTTTAAAAGTCTTTTTTGAGTCTAGTTTTACAAAAACATAAGTTTGATCAAATTATACTCAGCTACCCACCCCCAGAACATCTGAACTGAGCTCCTTCATCACCTAAATAATTTGTGTTCATTTCTTCAAGCACACTCCCCAGTGGCCGTCATACTGGACAGCACAGACATGAACATTCCTGTCCTCACAGAAAGTTCTACTGGGCAGCACCACCATAAAGTTTTAGGACTCTTAGTGGCTAAAGGTACCCCTCCATAAATACGAAGATTGGCATATAAGCACTTGGACTACAATCAATTCTTTAGTGATTGATTCAAAGCTTCTGGGTAGACACTATGAAATAAATTGGTGGTCTGGATCCTCAACATTATACTTTGAAAAATACAATTAGGTAGAAGAATTCCAAAATAAGCAACATGCATAATAAATGTATTGTTGATTGGTGAGGCCTGCTTCCCTCAAGGCAGGATATGTCTTACTCACCTCTGTACCTTCTACTACTAGTCCCAGGGATACACTAAGTGCTTAGGGAATGTTTTTACAGCAAAATGGGTTGCTAACCTGCTGTCCTAATTATGTTTCACAATAACTGAACCTCCTAACATATGTCTATGAAAAGGAAACTCACACAAAAGAACTGCTTTTTAAAAGACAACTGTATCTTAATACCTTTTTCCACAAAATTCAAATACAGAATGATCTTTTGTCCTAAATCGTCCACTATTTCTCTTCCATTGAGAGTAACATAAGCTCTCTTGGATTCTTCTGTAGTTTTGTATCTTGCAAATGAGTAAGGCTTGTTAGGTGGCATCAAGAGAGCATCCAGGGGTCCACATTTCTCCAAAACTGGGAGCAGCTGGCTCCTACTCACACCATTACCTAAACCACCATTGGCAACAACCAGGTTCTTAAAAGACAAAAAAGAGTAACATGAGAAATTGACACCAATCTATGTATTCTAAAATAACATTTTCAAATAAGATTTCTAAACAACTGTATGCCCACGGGAAAGAAAAACACAAATTCAAGAGGGGGAGGTGGAAAGAGGGAAAAGGGAGAGAGGAGGAGAGAGGAGGGTTAGTAAATTCTCACTTAATGGGTACAATGTAAGGGTATACAGCACACCCCCTGTGTGAAGGGTTCAACTACAACTTAACTTTACCTAACAAATGCAAACAATATAACCTCATCATGTGTACCTCATGTTAATCTTGAATTTAAAAAAATGATTTCTACAAAGATATAATTAAGGGGGAAAAAGTTTCCTTATAGTAATTATTTGCTTTGCTGATTTCATACAAAGTACATAAACCAATTTACTAAATATTTGGGGAAGAAAAAGTACTACTTCATATATTGCAAATAATATTGATTTTTTTGGAGACAGAGTCTTACTTGGTCACCCTCCGTAGAGCTGTGGCATCATGGTTCACAGCAACCTCAACCTCTTGGGCTCAAGTGATTATCTTGCCTCAGCCTCCCAAGTAGCTGGGACTACAGGTACCCACAACAATGCCCAGCTATTTTTTAGAGATGGGGTCTCACTCTGGCTCAGGATGGACTTGAATTCGTGAGCTCAGACAATCCACCCGCCTTGGTCTCCCAGAAGTACTGGGATTACAGGAGTGAGCCAACTTATTTTGGCAAAATATTCATTTCTTAGTGACCATAAAAGCAAATTAAAAGAAGACACTATTATTCAGAAATACAAATTTAACAAAATTAAAGAGTGAGAGGAGAAAAAACAAGCAATTACGTAATACTTGCTTTTTGCCAGAGATTGTTCTATATGCTTTCACCTAATTAATCCTCATTAACATAATCTTCACAACAGAAGAATTTATTTGGGTAATATTAGCCCTACTTTATAGAGGAAGACTATGATCAGACAAGTTAGATTAAAGTGGTTACTTAAGGGTGGGTTTCAAACTTGACAGTTTACAGAATCCACACTTTTAATACAACCATTATACAATGTTACTAAAAACTATTAATAAAAGTAAAGGTACTGGCTCAAAAAATCAATTGTAAGTTCTATTAAACACAAGTTAGGAAAATTTTCCTCCAGGAAATTCAGTTAAGTAATTTGGTCAGTTTGTAAGTTTAATACTGCACTAAACTCTATTCAAAGAAATTTTGGAGTGATGGAGGAATCGTCCCTTATTTTATTTATTTATTTATTTATTTATTTATTTATTTCAGAGATGGAGTCTCAGTTTGTTGCCCTCGGTAGAGTACTGTAGCATTACAGCTCATAGCAACCTCAAACTCTTGGGCCTTAGCTTCCGAGTAGCTTCGATTACAGGCGCCTGCCACAACACTCGGCATCTAGGCCTCCTAGAGTGCTAGGATGACAGGTCTGAGCCAATGCATCCGGCCTTCCTATTTTTATTCTGATGTTTATGGCCTAGCACCCAGGTAGCCTGTATACTTAAAAAATCATTCTATGTGATGCTAAGACCTTTAATTTATAGTCTCTGACTTCTAAAAACATTGTAGTATATAACAAAAATAAGCCAAGGGGGGGGGCCTGCTCTAATCAATTTCATCAGTTATACCAGTGGGCAAAGTTTTTCTGGTAATAGTAGATATTTCATGTTTTGCAGGCCAATGTAACTTGCTATCACATAGTCTCAGCTTTACTTAAAAACTTTAAAAGTGTAAAACCCATTCTGAGCTCAGAAGCCTAATTTGACTTGAGGACAGTAGTTTGCCTGATTTATACTAAGCTCAAGGTTAGTACATAGTAAACTAGTTTTATTGTACAAAATAAGACTATCTAGATCCTTGTTTAAAAAGGATATAATAGAATTATTATAAAGTAGATAAGAAGAAAAATAAAGCTGTTTTGTCATGCGACAGCCAATACTTTATATGCATGCAAGTATACATATAATAAAAAACCCACTAATATACTACTGTATTATATGGCACAAAATTTAGTTTCAAATGGCTTGCCCTAGACCTCATTTATCATCTAATAAGGTTTATTAACTAAAACACCGTAATATTTGGTTAGATGCAGTCATAATTACAAAAACATTTTCACTTCTTAAATCTAAGGTATTACAAAGGTCACATAAGTCTCAATAATCCACTACACCATCTAGGAATGGAAGGTGAGGAGGGCATGGGTGGAAGTGGTCCTCAGAGAGGCTGTCCAGGTGACTTGCAGGTAACTCTAAAGGCAAACCACACAAAGGAAGTGAAGTACGGGACGGGGCAGGAGGAACTTACATCCCATTACATGTGAGTTATGCAATATGATTAAAAGTAATAATTATTTTATTCATAATTATTCAAGCAATTCTCCAAACAGTGATATATATGAAGCAGAGAGTTTAAATCATTTTGAAGTTATCTTCACTCCTGACAATTTCAGGATCACTACTCTAGAAAAATCTTACAAACCTATAGGAAACTATGTTTATCTATAACATGTCATTAGAATATTTGTACTCCCCCAAGTAAATAAAATATAATTAAAGGTCTTTCTACAATTTTATTCTTTTCCTTTCAAATACAGTAGAGAAAAAATAATCAAAGCTTAAATAAAATGCCAATGCCACTTTGAAGGTCATGAGATGAGATGAAAACTTCTGGAGAGACCCAAAACAAAAGACAAACCCAACCAGAAACAAGCTTCAGAGGCTACAAAGAAACTCAATCCATTTTTTTCTTACTAGTTTCTTCATGGCCCCTGTAAGGAAAAAAAGGTAAGTCATGGTTGGGAAGAGAAATATATTAATTATTCTAATCTATTATCTGTTCTATCCTTGCTATAGAAATTTGGCTTAAATTCTCTGAAGTCAACAATATTTAACTCCGAGTACAGGCCTTTTGTCTGTTGTATTCAAATGTCCCTCAACATGGAGGAATGAGACTGCTCATTCCTAAACTATAACGAAACATCAAGACATCATCCCAAGCCTAAGGGAAGGATATCGGCTGACAGTCAACAGGCATAAATTTCAAACCCAGCTTTACCTTCAGAATTGTATGTTTGACTCTCAGTTAAATGATATCTATGTTTCCTTCTCACTCTTACAACTTTATGATCCAAAAATAGTCTCGTCAGAATTCCTTACATTCATGTAGTATTTTAATGTCTAAGTATCAGTAGTCTCTAGATCTAACGAGAAAATAGGGTTAAAAGTATGCAATACTGTGCCCTGCTTCCAAATGAAGAAAGCCAAGGTCAAATGTTACTCCACATGCCCAAATAAGTGGAGGAACTAAGAGTTAAGCTGAGTTCTTCTAATTCATAGCCCAGAAACCTCAGTCCCTCATATTTGTTATCTCATTTAGTTATTGCCATCAGATAATGAATAGGCTTTGTCATAAGATCTAAGAAAAGAAAAAAATGCTTTGTGGCACATAATCAAAATGCTTTATAAAATAGGTGAGATTGGAAACAGAAGAAAGAAGATTGTATTAGAATACGGAAGACCTAGCTTTAAGTTTCTATTAGCGAGTCCCTAGCTTTTGTCAATGGACATAGCATAACCTCCTAAACTTTAGTTTTCTCACCTATTTCTTATGGATATGTGGGGAATTAAATATAATACTACACTTGATCTTAGCCAAAAGGCCGAGAAGCAATGAATTAAATATAATAATAAGTAAACCCTGCAAACTGAAAAGGCTGGTACAGAGATATTATTATTAATATATACCCAAAACTTCCTCTCACTCAAGCCAACACAAAAGAAATTCAAGGTATAGACTAAGCTATGGCCCCAGATAGAAAGTCAGCAGGTCCTATCATATGTGTATTTAACACATGATTGAACAACTACAGCCTTGAGCAGCTATTAAGAATATCTACATCAATATACATTAACATGTCAACGCATTTACAGTGTAAATGGTAATAATAGTTTTAGGTCACCTGCGTGGCATAGGCGACTGTCTCAATGCCTTCATGTCTCAGCAAGGTATGCCTGGCTTTAATCTGTTTCCTTAAGAATTTCTTCTCAGTTTTACTGAGTTTGTAATTATGTTGATGGCTGCTGTCCACAGCAATACTGAAAAAAAAAAAAGTAAAAAAACTGTCAACCTTAAAAGTCCTGAAGAAACAATTACAATGATGCTATTCACATATTTAATAGTTTATAAATATTTCTATATGAATGTTTCATTTACATTTCAAGAACCAAGAGAGGAACAGATAAACAGAAAATACAGTAAAGGAACATTTAAGAACATCTAACAGCATCTTTAAGTCTAAAAAATGATCTAATGTAGCTCCATTAAGTCTGCCATTTGACTCGCAGGTATTGGTTCCCTTTACTCACGCAGTCCTAGGTAAAATGTGCCAGGGACAAATTCACAATTATCATGTAAGGCAAGGCAAAGAGGAGGGAGGGGGGAAGAGAAGCACAGGGCAAGGGGAGGAACAACACAGAAGTCATGGAAGAATGTACAATATGCCTCCATTTATAGAAAGGTCAAAATCAAAAAGTAAGCCATATGTCGTTTAGCAATACATATATAGCAAAACTAAAAGTACGGCAAGGAAATAATGAACCCTAAATTCAGAAGAGGTTATGTCTGTGAAGAAGGAAAAAGACCTTGATACAGAGGTGACATATGTGAACATGGAAGGTATTTCTTTAGATGGTCGATGCAGGTATTCATTCTATTATTTTTTAATCTGTTCATATCATGTATTTATGTCTGTAACTTTTTTTCCTTTTGTCTGTCACCCTGGGTAGAGTGCTGTGGCACCATCATAGCTCTCAGCAACCTCCAACTCATGGGCTAAGGGTTTCTCCTGCCTCGGCATTCCAAGTAGCTGAGACTACAGGTGAGCATCACCATGCCCAGCTAATTTTTTCTATTTTTGGTAAAGATGGGGTCTCCCACTGGCCCAGGCTGGTCTCAAACTCCTGAACCCATGTGATTCTCCCACTTTGTCCTCCAAAAGTGCTAAGCACAATTTTATGGGATTCTTATTTCTGTCACTTAAAAAATTATAGGCTCAGCCTATAAATAAGAACCCCATAAAATTGTGCCTTCACATCATTGAAATACGTCAATTAGCAAGTACTAAGTATCTTCCCAAGGGTCCTCTGTGATTATATAACCCAATCAGCATCCTGTAGCATGCTTTATCACAGTAGTCTATTTTGTTTACACAGTTAGAGCAGAGAGAGTATGTTCACCTTCTATACACTTAGAATTCTTCAAAATTAATAGAAGAAACAAATTTAGGAAGTTATGCAAAATCCTATTTCCAAACAGCTCATAAATAGTCACAGCTATAATTACTAATCTTTAAGTACAGAAAATAAAATACCAAGTCTATGTATTAAAATGCCAGCAGTCCAGCTTCCCAACACATGGAGTTAATAAGATAGGAAGTAAGGCCAGTGCGGCAGGCTGGTTGGACAGCATAGTAGGGAGATGAGAGGTAAGAAGACCTGCAATGATCCAGCTTGGCAAGTAGAAATGCTGGCCTGATGTATGCTGGAGAGTAGAAAGAAAGGGAATAGTGGGAGAGGGGAAGAAGAAGGATGAAAGAAAAGTTCAGGCAGAATCAACAGGCCTTGACGTATACTCAGAAATGAAGGCGAGAGAAACCAAAAGGATAAAGCTGAGTGACTGAGAAACTAGTGATGTCCTTTCAAAACTGGAAAGTCAGGAGGAGCTGCTCAGGAAGGGAGGTAATGAGGCAGATTTATGATATTATATGTTCAAGCTACTGGTGAGACATACAGTTTCAGGTGACAATATAAAGTGCCTCCTAGGAAAAGGACTGAGATTAGAAAGCATTAGGGTTGTATTAATCTTGATGGACTTGAAACACTCTTCTTAGTAACACATCACAAGAATGGAAAAGCAAATATCCAATGTACTCAATACTAATATGAAGCCAGTAGACATCTAATTCACGCCCACATAGGAGGAAAACTCAATTCAATTTAAGCTGCAGGAAGAAGGATGACAGAGGGGAAGAGGGGACAGGGGTTTGGGGGTTCCCACTTCATAGGCACAATGTAGAGTATATGGCACATCTTTTGGGTGCAGGACACAACTTCCACAGGGACTCTACCTAACAAATTCAGATATTGTGACATGGTCATTCATACCCTCACATTAACCTGAAATTTAAAAAAAAAAAAAAGCATTAAAAGTCATCATTAGACAGGAGGGGGACAACTGAATGGTTATTTGTAACACTGCACTAATTATAATGATTTGTTCTAGTATCTGTCCCCTTCCACTCAACTATGAGCTCTTTGAGGACAGGGATTAAAACATACTTTTCTTAATTACCCCAGGGCCTCATTCAGTGATATGAAGCAGTGTTTGGAAGTCTAGGTTCCAGGTTCAAATTTCGGCTCCACCACTTACTAGCTCTATGTTCCAAGGTGAGTTAATTACATATCTGTTTCTGTTTCTTCTTCTCTGAACAGGGATAGGGATAAAAATAATAGTGCCCATCTCATAGCTTTTTAAGCAAAATTAAATTTATTACTATAACATTGTTTTCAGAAGATCCGGATGGCTTAATAGAAAAAACAGCTGAGGGCCTGCTAAGGAGCTATTTTATAGCCATTCCATTCTAAGATCTCTATCTTTTGAAATACCTACTCTATAGTAAATCATGGAGAACAAGGGGTGAGTTTCCTATAGAATTTTTTCATAATAATTCCAGGAAGGAAAGACTTAGAAATGAAACAACAAAGAAAAGATGCCAAATACACCTACCACCAGCAGATGGAGCCCCATAACTACATTTTTGCCACCCCTTTTCCTTTCTCCCTACGCCAGTCACGCAATACTACTGCAAGTAAAGAAAGATAAATCTAGATGCCTTTTAAGGCTCATTTTTCCTCCATTCCAGTAGCTTGGCAGTGTGCTGGCCCAGCACGTCTGAGTCACCTTAACAAAGAGTAGGCTGATACCACCTGCTGAGGTCTGGAACTGCTCTTTTCCAGCAAGGTTGCTTTCCTGGTTAGGGAGTATCCAATATGGTACAAACGTTTAGATGCTCCATGTCATATTAAGGGGGTGAGGTCACTATTTACTAGGATACTAGTCATGCTGAATCCAGGCCAGCCACCTCCAGCCTAAGCATATTCTCTGTGGGATAATGAGTGTTTAGAGATTATACATGCTCTGCTACTTCCATGTTAATAAATTTAACCCCAACACATCCCATTGGATAGTGCCTAAGTGATAATGGTAGTATGTGTGTCCATGCCCTCCTTGAGCAACAGAAAACCTATTATAAATCCAGTAGGATAAATAAATGTTCCTGTGCTTGTATGTAAACTATAATTACTAGCAAAGAATAGAAAGAACCTAAATTCCTACCAAACGAGGTCTGATTTTAAAGTACAACACAGGTATAAAAAGCTTACATGTAAATCTTTAGCATACCCAAGAAACTGGCTCAGTACCTATAGCTCAGCAGCTAGGGTGCTAGGCACATACAACGAAGCTGACAGGTTCGAATCCAGCCGGGGCTTGCCAAACAACAATGACAACTACAACCAAAAAATAGCTGGGCATTGTGGTGGGTGCCTGTAGTCCCAGCTACTTGGAAGGCTGACGTAAGAGACTTGCTTAAGCCCAAGAGTTTGAGGTTGCTGTGAGCTGTGACACCATGGCACTCTACCCAGGGGGACAGGGTAGAATAAAAAAATAAAATAAAATAAAATAAGAATACACAAGAAACTGGTAATATGGGTTACCCGCAAGGAAGGGAAATGTATAGATGAGTATGGGAATGAGAGGGAGTTTTCTTCTTGCATGACTTCTGAGTTTAGTAGCTATTCAAACTGCCTTACCTATCTGTAAAAAAAAAACTGTAAAGGTTTAAAATGATTGGAAAAGATACACCCATATCTTGTCATGTTACCATGTTTTAACTCTCTGAAGAATACTATACATTGTTGAATAGTATCTAAATCAAATTTACCGTCTTAGCGCCTCCTAAACTCCTCCATAATTCTGAGTTTGGCAGCTTTCTTCAACGTTTTCATTAACACTACTGTGTATCTCTAACTCTGGAGTTCTCACATTGTATTATAATTATCTGTCTGTGTTGGGCTCAAAAAGAAGACTATCATCTATTTGAGAGCACAATTTGATGCCTGCCATACAGTGGACAATAATCGTTCAATGACATTAATCAGACCCACAGGCTGCCACCACCAAAGGCCCAAGGGTCGCGAGGATTACTCAAATAAAATCACAGGAACAATCAGATGCGCCAGCGGTGCAGCCATCAGCACTGCTTTTGCTTTACTGATACTGGTCACAAAACCCCAACGCGCCCGATTCAGGAGCCCCAGGTTGCAACCAACCGTCTCCAACCCTAAAGAAAACAGATTAGCAGAGGCACCACGTGAGCGCCCGCACAAAACACAAACACGTGCCCCTTAAACACTAACACAACGAACTGAAGCCCTACTGCGCACAGAACAGTACCAGAGCGCCGCCGCCCAGATTATCTGTCCTTTCCCTGGGTTTTCAGCCCACGCCAGCGAGGCGGGTAAACACCGAAGAGGCTGACAAGAGGAAGCAGAGGTTTGCTGCCTACGTGTCCCCCAGCAAGAAGTGCCACTCGCCTCTGCCTTGGCTTAGGCCGGCTTCTAACAAAGCGGGTATTCTCTCCTTTGCCAGACTTTCTGCTTTAACCCCAGAAAGCGGCGGCGGGTATTTGAACACTACCTCACCTGGGCGCGGCCATGTTGGAGAATAGCGCACTACGTTTCCCATGAATCAGCGGGGCGAAAAGTAACTCCCACAATCCCCTTCGCCTCCCAGAACGCCGCAGGCGCACTGTCCGGCTAAGTGTCTTTGCGAACTGTTCTCTGTTACAGTGGGAATTCAGTTCTCTTGTTTGGGAATAGGGTAATAATTGACAGTGCAACTTTATTTTTATTGGTTCTTCCCCAAATGAAAGGTCAAACAAGTTTGTGTCCTTTGGTTTATCAGTAATGCTCCCCAAGCCCCGCCCTGCCACCTTGGGCTTTTTGTGCATATTAGAGGCCCCTAGGGTCAGAAAGAAGAGTGTTCGGGCAGGAGAGAAGGAGGGTTGACCGTGTATGAGTGTGCCAGGGAAACGGTGAGGACTGCAGAGTAATAGGAAGATACAGGCATGAATGTGGAAGGAGGGCTGGGAATTGCCTTCCTGTGGTGTCGCAATCCCCAAATCCACGCTGCAAGGCAGTGCGCTATCGGTAAAAGTTAAGGTTGGCGAGCTGGCCAGGAAAAGTGGCCCTGAAAAGAGAGTGTTGTTGAGTGGAGGAATGATTTCTGCAAAGAGTAAGTTAGAAGGGGGAAGGAACAGAATTTGGTAGGCAAATGTGTAGCGTTTTCCATAGTCCAAGAAAGGGTGGTACCAAAACTGAAGAGCAAAAGTGAGGAGGCAAGTACAAGATGCAAAGATCAAGTAAACGAGACATTGCAGACTACTTGGGTGTAAGAGAAAACGTCTCCCCCATGGCAGTCTTGCTCCCGACCTACTAGGTGCTTGCAAAAGAACATCCCAACTGAACTTTCCGCAATGACGGAAATGTTTTAAAATCCAAACCGTCCAATATGATAGGCTTTTGAGCATTTCAAATGTGACTAGTAAACTATGAACTGAATTTTGAATGTTAAAAAATTTATTTAGTTTTAATTAAATAGCCACATGTGCTAGTGGCTCCCAAGTTGGACAGCAATGTAACATAGCCACTTGTCTCCTATTGGCCAACTTCAGTTACTTCATCTCTTTTTTTTTTTTTTTTGAGACAGAGCCTCAAGCTGTCCCTCTGGGTAGAGTGCTATGGCATTACAGCTCACAGCAACCTCCAACTCCTGGGCTCAAGCGAGTCTCCTGCCTCCGCCTCCCAAGTACCTGGGACCACAGGCGCCCGCCACAACGCCCGGCCATTTTTTGGTTGCAGCCGTCATTGTTGTTTGGCGGGTCCGGGCTGGGGATTCGAACCTGCCACCTTAGGTGTACGTGGCTGGCGCCTTAGCCGGTTGAGCTATAGGCGCCGAGCCTACTTCATCTCTTTAAGGCACGGAAGCTTTTAAAGCTTTTGATTTTCTAAGCCTCTGTAAAATCATTCTCTTTTAGCTCTCTTTATACATCCTGATCACTTGCTTTTAGAGTTTTCCACAAGCTTCTCTGTCTATAATTAAACACAGGCAACGCTTTAGGTTTTATCTTTGACCTTATTCTTTTATTCTGCAGCCTCCTCCTGCCTGCCTTCCCAAGAGTTTTAAAGAGATTTATGAATAATTCCCTAATCTTTACCTCCAGCCCTTACTTTTTTTTAAGAATCAGTTTGGTTTACTGAAAAGAATATGGGGACATCGGGTTATGACCTGAAGTAGAAACTGCAAAACAGTATTTTCCTTTTAAGACTGATGTGATAATTAAGTAAAATGTATGAAATGGTTGTTCATTTCTCCTTTTCTGCTCTAGAATTATAAGCCCAAATTTCCAACCATCTCCTGTCCATCCCTGCCTCAATATCCTTTAGAAAAGTTGATAAATAAAAAGAAAATGTATGTAATCCTTTGTAAACAAGTGAAAGCACATATAGTGAAAATAAGACGGCTGGTCTGGTCAGTTTAGGTCCTGCCTGACCTCCACTGCTCCGCATCTCCCATTCTGTTTTGTATATTTACCTCCCACCCTGAAGATGCCTATTTTGAGTAGTTTAGGTGGATTGATTTAGGGGATCAGCTTTTGAATTGGAATGTTTTGAGTCCTGATTATTGTTTACTGTGGGTCATGAGTTCTGCCAATTATTGTTTAAGATAAGGGTTAACATGGTCTTCACTCTGAACTTAAATGTATAAAACTATAATTTTGGAAATGGAAGAACAGAACAGTAGCCTTAGAGAGGCTGCTCTGACTGTTCTTGGGAAAGAAGAACAGTCCCATCCTTCTGAAAAATAGTTTTGTGGACCTGTCCCCATCTCTGCATGTTGGCTGACAGTGATAGGCAGCCGGACCCTCTTCATCTGGTAACACAGGCCCTTGTTTTTTCTTGGAGTATTTCGTAGACCATTTCTCCTAGAGAAGATGACTTCCTGAGTGACTTTCAGCTACATTGGGACCATCTGTGTTCATTTTGTAACCCCATCGTATTTGATAGTCTTGTAATAACAGGAAGTTAATAAATGTTGAACTGAAAAGGAATTTTAATTTGAAGGTAAAATTCATCTTTACCCATGCCAAAAACTACATGGTAACCTATAATTTTCAAAGGTACAAAATGCTCACTTAGTGACTCTTTCCTTAGTGAAAAATGAGTGTTAACTTCAAGAGAGGTGAATTCTCTATGTCAACTGCAATAGGGTGGGTAAGATTTGTCTGTGAAATCCAGATAAATATTTTTGGCTTGTGGTCACATATTTTTCTTTGTTTATTCTTAATAGCCCTTTAAAAATGTAAAAACTTTTCTTAGCTCTCCCAGCTTGTGCTAGCAGAATTTGGCCAATAGGCTATAGTTTTCCAACCCCTGAACCCTCTTCTTGAATTTTGTAATCAAGAGCACAGTGTCAAGGTGCAGCTAAGATGGCCCCACTAATGAAGATATTTCTTGTAAATCATATTATACTATAAGTAAATTTAATCGGATTAGCCCATACTACATTTTAAAGCATTTACAGGTAGAGTTTCAAAAATTAGAATTAGGAATGGGCAGCACCTGTGGCTCAGTGAGCAGGGCACCAGCCCCACATACCAAGGGTGGAGGGTTCGAACCCGGCCCTGGCCAAACTGCAACAAAAAATAGCCAGGTGTTGTGGCGGGTGCCTGTAGTTTTTGCTACTCGGGGAGGCTGAGGCAAGAGAATCACCTAAGCCCAAGAGCTGGAGGTTGCTGTGAGCTGTGATGCTACGGCACTCTACTGAGGACAACAAAATGAGACTCTGTTTCTAAAAAAAACTAGAACTAGGAACAACATCTCCTTTAGAATCGATTTTAATTGCCAGTAACAGAAAACTGAAAAGACTATTTAAATAGTTAATTTTCCTCAAATCACAAACCATCCACACAAAGGGGATCACTAACGTGATTCATGAGGTCCACGACCAACACATTGGCAATGGGGACACAGGAGGCCAGGTCAGTGAGCTTCCCGTTCAGCACAGGATGACCGTACCACAGCCTTGGCTGCACCAGTCAAGGCAGGAACGATGTTCTGGAGAGCCCCACCGCCATCACACCACATCTTCCCAGCGGGGTCATCCACAGTCTTCTGGGTAGCAGTGACTGTAGTCCTGAGTCATCCACGATGCCAAAAGAGGCTAAGTAGTTGGTGGTATAGGAGGCATTGCTGACAGTTTTGAAACTGTTCTTGTACTCATGGTTCATACCCATCACAAACATGGGGGCATCAGCATGATCAGAAGGAGCAGAAGTGATGACCCTTTGGCACCCCCCGTAGGTGAGCCCCAGCCTTCTCCATGGTGGTGAAGATGCCTGTGGACTCCACAACATAGTCAGCGCCTGCCCTGCCCCATTTGATTTTGGTGGGATCTCGCTCCTGTAAGATGGTTATTGGATTTCCATTGATGACAAGATTCCCATTTTCAGCCTTGATTGGCCGTGGAATTTGCTATGTGTGGAATCATACTGAGACATGTAGTTGAGGTCAATGAAGGGCATTGATGGCAACAATATCCACTTTGCCAGAGTTAAAAGCATCCCTGGTGCCCAATACAACCGAAAACATTTATTCCGACCTTCATTTTCACCATGGTGCCTCAGGGATGTGGCTGGTGCTCCACGAGAAGCAGCAGCTAATGAACGGGGGACCAGAGGGCCTGTTTATCTTCATCCTTGATATTTTCTAGTTACATGGTGTCTGCTACAGCTCCAGGTATCCCTACAGCGTTACAGTGGAGGAAAGGAGCAGTATTTCCAGCTATATCCAGAAAATCAAGCTCCTAATGGACTCTCCTTTGTTTTCTTGACCACAAATGGGTTGCATACCATAATGGACAGAATAATGGGCCCCCATGGACATCCACACTATTCCCTGGAACCTGTGAGTACACGGTTGTAATTAGGTTTACAGACTCTAAAACAAATTATCCCAGCTTATCCAAGAGCCTAGTCTAACCACGCTATTCCTTAAAAGCAGAGCATTTACTCTAGCTGGAGTGAGAGATGGAGCAGAGGAAGTCAGAACGATTCCGAGTATGAAGGAGTCAGTACTGTGTCGGTGGTTCTGAGACATCAGGGTCCACATGCGAGGGCCTGAAGAGAGGCCTCAGTGAGCTATGAGAAACGAAGACTTCATCCTTCAACCCCCAGAAACTGGATTCAGTCAACAGCCTTAACAAATTGGAAGCAAATCCTTCCCAGAGCGTCTCGATAAGAGCCCAGCCAGCCAGCATTTTGATTTTGTCTTTGTGAAACTCAAAGCAGAGAAACCAACCTAACCAACCCAAACTTCTAACCTGTAGAACTGTGAAATAATAAATTTAGATTGTTTTGAACTGCTGAGTTTGTGGTAATGTATTACATCAGCCAAAGAAAACGAGTATACAAGCATATCCCAGACCAGGCCCTGGCTAAGGGAAGTAAAATTACCATGACTATTTTAAGGCCAATTATGATTCACCCTGTGGAGCTCAGATGAAGCCTATCCTCCCTAAAATCAAGACTTTTGACATACTATGTTGTATTGGGGGGGTGGAGTTTCTTTCTTTCCTTTTTTCTTTTTTTTTTTTTGAGACAGAGTCT